AAACGTCGATCGAACTCGTGCCAGCTATCGAGTATCGGGAGTAGCAACGATCTCGGCGGGGGAGGGGGGAGGGGGAGGATGGAGGGGAAGGGCGATCACGAGAAACGCAGAAAAGAAAAGAAAAGAAAAGAAAAGAAAAGAAAAGAATGTGGACTTCGGAGGATATCGACGACGATGGAAGCTGGATACAAAAGAGGAATCGAACGCGAGCAAGGGCATGCGCGAATCCGCGTCTAATCACGAGTTTAACGCTTTTTACCAGATCCAGGGACCTTCTTTTGCCGGAGTCGATCGTTTTCCCACAGTCAGCATCATGCTTGATTCGCGCTCGGCTAGAATCGTGGCGGTTCTTATCGCTTTTTCGTCCGTTGCTACTTTTTCTTTTCTACGTGTGTCCACGATCGTCGATCGTTCCACTTTACACGATTCCACGGCAAACTGAAACACTGTTGATCGGTCAGTGAGAAGAAGATAGAGGAACATCAGATGGCTGACCCATTATTGGAGAAAGGGGGCTAGCTTTCGTTCGGACGATCGGTTTGTCCGAACCAGTGGCATTGCGTACGCAAATCTGCGTAATTTTAATTCTAAAAGTTGAATTCTAAGAGAAGCGAATCTTTTAATTGCCGAACGATCGAGCAATTAGCAAACTTTCTATTTCAATGCAGTTTCCTTCCACGTTTATTTTTCTCGCAATTAGTCACGTCATTCCTCGCGTATCGTACTTACTATAACTCTCGCTACATAGTAGAGATATACATTTCGCAAGTTCACGAGTTCTCGAACGATTCTCGAAACGTTCGATCGATGTCCTAGTTGCAACGACTACGAGATATAACCAGCTGTTCCATGTTGTGTGCATGATCTTGACTAAATTCTATCCCTGTCATCCCTGTCATCTCCTATATTTCAGACTGGATTCTGTTTTGATTTCAAGGCTCTCGAAACCGGTACCGATCGAACTATGCCGCTCCATAATAGAGTTACAAGTAGCGTACGCTTTATCTCTCACTCCACATCTTATACTCTCTGTACTAATTAAAAGTTAACGCCGTGTAATTGAAATCGCCGATTAAATCGTATCACACTTCGAACAGGCAAGAATTAGTATCAAAGGTGAGAATCGATTATACCGGGGCGTATCGAACATTCGGTAGCAAACTTCGATCATCTCTCGAGTATGCACAGCTTGTCAAACGTCAAATATCCCGTAATTATCAGGCTCGCGTGTTTCAACCGTTCGACACGATACTCGTTATATCGTTGATATCGTATAATTAAAGTCGCAGACAGTTGTTGCTCGATGGATAAAAATCAACGGTGCCTGAGAATCAATGTTATCGAGCCTCTGGCAAACAATCTGTACTTTTTTTCCACCGGGATTTGCTTTTCTTGCTCGCATTCATTCGTTCGCATGATCGGGTCTGCCGTCACCTCGATTTCATCGCGAACGCGTGGAAACGGATCGTTCCCTCGAACGAACGATCTATTTTCGCGTTGTGCAATTCCACCTTGATCTTTATCGTTTCTGCCGTTTCCGATTCGTGTTTCGAAGCTCCGTCGTCCGTTTTTTCCCCTGCGTCGTTTCAGAAACGTATCAGGAATACGTCGACTGTGGAAATAAGGGACGTTCAGGTTCTAGAGTTCCACGAAGATCCATGGCCGCGTCTAAATCGTAGGATACGTCGGCTGAAATTTTATGCGATCGCGTGATCACGCCTCCTCCACGTTTTCACGAGTCTTGGCTCGGATGCAACTGAACGGCTAGTTTCCTTATCGCTATTAGAATTACCATTTCGCGCGAACCTTAGTATTTTTAACGACGTTCCGGCTATATCTTACACTCAAGTGCCATTTTTTTTTCTTTTTTTCTTGTAAATGTAACAACATGATAGCAGTGTTAATTAAAAAAAAAAAAATGTTGTAATTCTTGCGAACAGAAGTAAATTGTAAGAAAATCTTTCATCTGAAACTAATTTCATTTTAATGAAATTTGCATGTTGCACGAAAAGTGACTCGATTAAGTCTCTGCGAGAATATGTAGAAAGTTGCTCTGTTTTCTCCTTTTTTTTTTTTTTTTTTGTTTTTGCACTGAAAGCCTGAATGTGTAATGGATTAAACGTTCCAGGATGAACGAGAAAGTAGAAGTGCTGAAGACAGCAGCAGACCAAGTCGGAAGTCAAGAAGCCGACACGATCATTCTCCATGATTCTTAAGCATTAACAACAAGCAAAAATGTTCTCATACCGACCACCGTATCGTGTTTATAGACAGTGGGCCAGGTGAACGTATTGTAGTCAAGTACACGTTGCAGAGGACCACGGGCTGTATAACACATAAAACAGGCGCATAAACGAGATGCTATCGGAGTTGGAGGAGGTTCCGCGTAATCTATCCAATTATCGTTCGATCAGAGCTGTATCCGTGATTGTTCGGAGTCTCAGCCACCGGGAGAGGCTCCACTGCCACGAAAAATCTGTCTGTGTGGAAGAAACGATATCAAAAAAAAAAAAAAAAAAAAAATGCTCTTAACATTAAACGTACCGGCATTTTACATATACCTATCTTACCATAAGGGG